TTGTTCTTCCTACTAACTTGTCAGTTTTTTTGTCCTTCAACATGACTAACAAACACTTAACCTTTCTCACATTCACCCCCTGTTATTCTTGTGTAGCTGAATTGATATCCAAGTTAGAGGGGCCCGTTACCAGGGAACAGGACAAAAAGTTACAGGGTTTCTTTGCCCGAATGGAGACACGTATGAGTGAAGTATGTGTTTTGGTATTCCTGTGGCTAGCAGTCAAAATGTGTTTTCTTTCATGAGTTCATGAATATATTTCAGTGCTGGATTGATGTAGTCTAGTGAAAATGTAGTCCTTTCTGATTAACTTCATGGACATTTTTTTATATGTTGAAATGAAGATTTACTATTTCAAATAGCTAAAGTCTCAGATGAAACCAGTCACAAAGTTTGAGAAAGGGCTGTGCTTGTCTTTGGTTTGAAAATTAGGTTTGACTGGGTTGCTACTGCTTTATAATCTTGAGCTACTTAATGAGTTAAATTTGACAGTCTGGAACGGTGAACATTAAAATTTGAAAATCATAGTCTCTCTGAAAGCCTTGCTATGCTGGTCCCACTTCATTGTCCTAGAACATCAACACTTGGCGAGAGAAGCGTGAGGCAATCAAGCAGGAGCGTAACAATCTGTATGAGCAGATGCTAGCTATGTGAGTCAATCTGTGAACTGTACCCATTCGCTGGCATGGTGACATTTTAAAGGGCATGATTGAGAATGTGGATGAGTCCTTAAAAAGGCTGGGTTCGAATCCCAACCGGGGAGGATTTTCCCTTTGCCTTATTAGAACTTGCCAAAATGTTTGTTTTGTGAATGCCTCACTAACACATGTGATCTCTTGATTGACCGAGAGATTGTCATGTGGTATGCAGCATTTCTTTCACCGTGTTACCTCCCACTTGCCAAAGCTGTGCCATGACCAAAATGTGTGGTGACCACAGCAGCCACAATATGTCACTGGGCTGGCAGTGGCACATTATGAAAATGCAGTGAATAATTTAATAATAAATTAAACAGGTTTACATTTTAGGTTTGGGTTTATTTCACTGAATTATATCTTAACTGCGCAGAATCCGTAGCCAAGGTGTTAACCACTTCCTGCCGGGGCAGTTATTAACCCTAACACTCCTCAATCCTCCAACAGGTGAAGGATTGAGGAGGGTTAGGGTTAATGTTGATGACGCTGGGCCGGGATATTTATCATTTTTTATGTTTCAAAATTCTTTAAAAATTCCTATCTTCATTTACTGGACACTTACAAACATGTGAAGGACTGTCTGGTGGCCCCTTGAGCCTGACAGACAAAATCTATTGATGCCCGAGTATTTTAGCCAGGCCTGCAGCCTTGTAAAAAGAGCCCACATTGTGCGGTGTTATATAACTTTCTTTTGTTCACGAACCTGGCTCAGTGCACTGCTGACCTCTTTCCAATAGGGGTCAGATTAGCATGCAGCGGTGCTGTGTGGCTCATCGCTGGGGTGGTGGAGCGCTTTTGTCCCCAGTGGTAATCCGCTTGCTCTAAATGCCCCAAACCGTGGTATACTGTTTCAAAACAAGGCTGGATTATCTCCACTTTTGAGAGTGAAAAAATGTCGGTAATTCCCGGCAGCCTGAACTTTTGTTCCTGAGTACGGTCTTTTGTTACAAGGCCCAGTTCCCGTTGTCTGAGTTTGGAGACCCCGGCCACGCATATGAAGCATACTTGTGCGGATCCGGAATTCCTGGCAGGGAGTGGTTAACAAATATTGACTGCTCTTACTTATGACACCATAAAACTAGTCTTCGTTTGTGACCCGTAGAAAATTCTATTTTCCTTAAATTTGGACGTAGTGCTTATAATATCTGACTTTGTACTGAGTATCAGAGGGGCTCCAGGATTCAACTAATTTCAAAAGGAATTGAGGCCCCATGATAGACAAAAGCATCTTATGCTGTTTATATTTTGCCTTTAGCTTTGATGTGGTTGGCCAGGAGACAGGCCTGAGCTTGGCAAGGCCCGCCGAGAAGGTGGCCATCTTCCGGAGGGCTAAGAGGAGCAGGGCCCACCTGATTCTGGGCCCGCGGGGGGTGAGAATGAAGGTGCCCATGGAGTTTAAGACCAACAAGCTGATCGGGACCAGCGTGACACTGATCGGGGATCATGGCCCCTTCTGGAAGGTGGGTCGAACCTAGGTTGCATTCACAGACATGAAGTAATATTCCGGGAAAATAGCAGTTTTTAGGGGAATTTTAGACCCCAAATTTGTCTCCCAAAAAAATCTTGTCACTTTCTTTTGAGATCCTTTTGTCACGCTTTGTTTTTCTCAAACTACACTTTTTGTTAAGTTTTTATGTGAAATCTGTTCAAAATGCTTCACTGTTAAAATTAACCAAATTGTTCCCTTTTCCTTCCCAAATTTATTTTTAAGAAATAAAAAAAATATATATCACAAATTCATACTGTTAAACACTACTAAGCTTAAAACCCTTTTTTTTCAGATGCCGTCAAATTTGCACGGTGGGACTGATCTTGTAACTGTTCCCAAGATACTGGAAATGGACATTGACGCCAGGAGAAAAACTGCCAAAGAGTGAGTCACCAGTGACAAATATGACATTAACAGAATTCAAATGGACGAAAAACAAAGTAGTGCATCACCAGCATGGAGTATTACCATATTTAGACAAGCTACTATGTCACAGATCGCAATCTGACCAATCACAAGGCCTGTTATGTGGTTGTTTCCATATTACAGGCTGCTTTTCTTAAACATTGGAGCATAAGGAACAAAAAACATCGACCAAAAGGTTCCGTTTGTGAAAATTTGATTGGCTGTGCAAAAAAAAGACCATTACAGACATCATCTACACATTCTGAAACACGTATGTACTGATGCAATTCAAAATTCATTGTTGCCACCTTGAGAAAAATTACATTGAAGTCGGACAGAAATTACTGTATCTGTGGAGGCTCTGGGAAACTGTGCCTACATGTGGTACTGTAGCACTCCAGACTGATCACAGTTCATAACAACTGGTCATTCCATTATAGGATGGAATCCTTTCCTTTGATATTTACGGGGGAAAAAACGTGACAGTGCAGCAAAATACTTTTCATTTTTGTTGACGTACCACACTCCTTATTGGAGAAAGTACCAACTGCCCACTGGCCTGGGGGCGCCATGTGGTTTAATGCCGTCATTGAGTAAATGCCCTCTGATTGGTCACAATCTGCAGGTCATCAGCAGGCAGTGATGTAATATGCATAATTCATCACTGGACATGCACGCATATCACAGCGGCAGCTGTAGTTACTCAAGTCTAGAATGTGATCAGTCAGATGACTATTTTGTTGCTTCACTTGGGTGTTCTGATTTTTTCTTTATTTCACTGAAATTATGCAGAGTCTTACAGAGGCTTGGAATAGGCGACACATCAAAGAAAGAACAGCCTCCATCCAGGCAATCACAAGAACCATCAGTGCCCCCTCTGGCAACTTTATTTCCACCGATCTCATCTTGAGTAAAACGCATGAATAACCATAGTGCAAAAGTTTGAAATATAAAAATGCACATTAAAATTATATCACACTTCCATGGGAAGTAACCCAATTACTGTTAGAAGGGCAATAATAGGCTTAATTTGTGACATTCTAAATTTACAACATTGTCTATTAAAATGACCCGTTTCTATTGCTTTCTGGCAAAAAAGGTAAATTTCAATGATCTTAAGAAATTTATTTCACTTTTATTTATTTTCCAAAATATAACTTGATATTCTTCTTTTGTAATAATTTGGATGTTCTTTATATTATGTTTCTGGAGTTATGACGTGACAAGTCACAATTTGGCATGCAGTATACTTCCTATGGTACAAAATTTGCCACACTTTCACCAGTCTGCTGTGAGATTATTGAAAACACCAAGACAAGACATCCATTTATCTCATTACAGACTACGGTTTTACATTTTGTGGGTTTCTACCCGTTTGAACCAAAAACTGCAAGGCCCATTTTGGAACATGTGCAAGTTACATGTTCCTCGCAAGATTGGGATCCTGAGTTATTTTCACACCACATCCTTTAACCCTAACCCCCCCAAGGGTAGCTGGCCCTAACCTTCCCCACTCACAAAAAGTTGGTATGCCAAACCCAATGCAAAAGCCAGCTGTTACGGGCCTACCAGACCTATCCCCACAGAATTAAACACTTCACTTTATTTAATTCTGTATGGTTGGGGAAGGTTAAGGCTAACCAATGTAATGAACACTAGAGACTGATATAAATGTTGCAATTTTATTGATGACGTCAAATGAGATAATGTGTGCTACATAATTCCTATCTTTATAAATTACACTTCCAACACTTTTTGCATCTAAATATTTACAGTTCTTGGTACGATCTATTCCTGTGCCTTGAAAGACACTCACACATTCTTACAATAAAAAAAGATCAGGACTTTGTTTAACTAAAATACATGAATTAGTCTGCAACTGGACTACAGAATTTAACGTAGGGGCAACAAATGCATTTTGCGTGTATCTCAAAATAAGCTATGTATTGAAAGGCATTTCATAAAAAACTAGAAATTGTCATTGTTTGAAATCATCCAAATTCCAAATTAAATTTAAAAAAGATGTTTCTTCAGAAATTTCCAATGATGAAAGACTTCAAAATTGTTCAAGTACTGATTTAATCCTACCCCTCTCATTACAGTCAGAATCAGAATAAGGAGGATTCAGAAAGGTGCAGCCTCACCACTTTTTTCACAAGGTTTTGCCTTTGAAACCTTGAAGGACAAATTACGCTGTTAAGCTCAAGCACAGTAGATAATTTTTGAAAGATGTTCCTTTT